GCCGGTCCCGATCAACCCCCGGAATCTTTGAATCGTTAGGTCGGGTCTCGAGGGCGGAGCTGAACGCCACGGGAGCGGAGGCTCTTGGACCTGGATTCCGGAGCCAAGAGGTCGCAGATGTTTTCTCCATAAATAGAGTCTCTCTGAGTGTCACCTACCAAACAAATACAGGAGAGAGTTAATTCGGCGGGGAATCTGCTTGAAGTTTCACCGCGTATTGTGGTGGGCAGCGAAAGCCAGGAATTCCACCACAGTACATGATTCCTTCCTCCGGCTCCAATATATCCGTTCGTTCCGACGGGCGCTGCCCATGGATCGATTCAAGACCTGTTTCAACACGTATGAAGTCAAGGGGACGAGAGGGGGATCGAGTAGACAATCATTCAGAGTATCCGCGATGCAGGTCGACCGGAAGGGTCAAGCTTCCCCTCTTCCGGAGATCCCTTCTGCTTCATTTGCCATATCTCTCAGAAGAGAGAGCGCGGTAGCGGACAGTCCCCCCTCCAAGGACTCTCGTTCGCTCGCCACTGTAGCGATCTCGGGCTTTCAAACTCTCGGAGAAACGGGAATCGTGGCGAGCCATCGTCCGATGTGATGGCAGCGTCGGAGCTCCCGATGTACGCTATCGGAGCCTGTATCCCCAATGTACCGCATTCCAATAAAGCCTCTTTCAATTAGGAAGGGTTGTCTATCACAATCTCTCCAAAAAAAGATTTTAAAATAATGGAAGCCTCTCTCTGACACAAGCATAGCTCTAATACAAGCTCCCGTACATCCGCAATAATGAAACTCCCTATCTGTAGTAAAGCCCTTACGAAACAAGCCTTCGATCGGCAGGAGCGGTAGATCGACGAGACACGCTCGTGTACAGTTCGCACAAGGCAAACAGGTCGTTAAGAATTAGCGAATCCCGAATGCCACGAGAATACTTTCTCTACACTGCTGGTTGAATGAAGCCCATCGGATCATATGAACATTCCTCCCGTACATTGAAGGGGGAGCGTTGCGGGTGGATTCGCGGTCGCGGGAAGCCGCTGAAGTTTCCGAGCTGCGGTACGGTGCTACGACATTATACGATCCTCGTCCTTCTCGGTGCATTGTGTACCCTCCTAGAAATGGAATCCGCTACCTGTCGTGAGGCCTAGACATGAAAGTTACTGACACCTCTTTATTCAGTATGTCAGCGCTTTGAGATCATTGAAAAACACCGACACGAGGAAGCCACGACCAGAAATCCATGCGACAGAACGAGCAAGTGCTCCACAGACAGAAAGGTCGTGCGATCGATTCTCGCCTCAGAAACAAGGTGCCCGCATGCGGTCCAATGTACGTCTCCTTAATGCAGCTGGAATATATTGTCCTCAGTTTCCCCGGCGGCGTGCTGATAAGCCCACGAGTATTCAAGCTCGTCCGCAGTTACGAGCACTCTGACGACGCGCCGCTTGTCGTGCGGCATCTCGGAAACCTGGGGAATGGGATTCTGGGAATATGTAGCGGAAACGTTCAGACCTCGGCCATTGAAGAGACCTCAGCTGGGTCCATCGTCTCAGTGGAAGACTCTCCGTCGGAAAATTTACCTTCGTTGGGGCTTTTTCCACGTCACTTTCCATGATCGAGTCTGTTTCAGCGACCGTGAAGATGTATCTCATCATGGCGTCGTAAACTATGCCGGCCAGTATCACCAGGGGAAATATCAAGGGGAGCCATGATAGAGCGCTCAGAAAAAATCGAGCGGGAGGCTCATCTGAAGGAGCGATTAGCGTAAGATATCGTTGAAATAAGGCTCAGATGGTTTCCTACCGATCACGGGATGATTCCGTCAGGGACTAATTTTCTGCGTATTTCCTCTGGATGAGACTGGAATCGTATTCCTTTGAAAATCGAAGCCAGCAATCATCAGGGGGTCTGAGCGTACGCGTGGAAAGTGCTCGCCGCTTCCGTAGGGGGCGGGGAGATAATGAACGATATAGGATTCTGGTCCGTTTCGATTCGGGTACCTGCTTGGCAACTATTCTTCGAAACTTGGTGATAGCCCAAGCGGCAAGCACACAGATTGTTCACGCAGACAGTGTTCCCTTCGTCGCACATCGGCTGAAATTCCAACGAGGATCGGGGTTTCGGTCCAAAGACACACCTATAGCCGATCACGTGTGTCTTGTTCGCCCAAGGCACTGAAGGCGGTGGCAGATGTTTCTTCGAGAACATGACACTGCCCACTCCAAGAACAGATGGATACGGTTGGTATCCGCTCGGATCCTAGTCCATCATAACATGGACTCCCGAAAGCCTCTTTTGATTCGCCTAGCAAAATCGACGATTGCAGAAACTATGGAGATTCTTCCTCCGAGATGGCTGCACATCAATGCGAGCGAGCTTTCATGACCAGAAATTTCAGGAGTAGAGTTTTCGCGAATTGGCGCATCTTCGTTGTTCCTCACATCAGCGATCTCCCCATTGAATCTCTTGGCTGCTTCCCGAGCCGGAAGGCCTCGACCACGTCAGAATTCTTAGTCAGAGCATTGTCAGCCCTCTTATTATGGGAACTCTCTGAGAAGATAGCGGACACGATTCGACCTCCCTATTGGAGTTTTTTTTTATCCGATACACCAACCTGCAGGCGATAGCCTTCGCTCCCTTCGGTAGGTCCTCTGAGTCCCAATTATCGTTCTCTTTGAGCGGGGCCGCCTCTGAGTGCATCGCTTTTCCCAGTTCTGTTCGGGCGAAAAAGGCGCTGTCAACCGGTGTGAAAGTCCGGAATTTTTCAGAATGCTTTTGACGTTCTTGTCGTCAAACTGTCGGCCGTTATCGGTGAGGAATTCTTGAATTTCATGATCCAAGTCTTTCGCATGCAGTATCATCTGCAGTAAAGCCGCCGGAGCCTCGGACTTGTTCTTCAGGAAGGAACGGTATATGAACCTGGAAAAAACATCCTTGAAGATGACTGCGTATATGTTCCCATTGGAAGAATCTTCGAACGGGCCAATTACGTCCGAGGAAACTAGTGCGTCGGGCTTGGTAGTCTTATTTCTGTTCCAGAACTTGGAACGATGCAGCTTTCCTTGAGGGGACTATGATCCTATACCCAGCCATCCAAGACCTACGCTCTCTTCCCAGGGAGCTCCCATAATAGATCCGACTGCTGATGACATCTGGCTTCTGGTCTCTGCGCGAACCTTGCAATCTACAAAACAAACCCGCCCGGAAGGAGCAACTTTCGTCGAATCGGCAGTGGTCATACAAGATGCGACTCTCTCACGAGTCCTGATGACGCGATGATATCAGCGAAATGAACCTTATACAGGGGATCTGAAGGCGGTTACTGGGAATCGGAGCGAGTACCCCGATGGAATCAGGATGCACCGTCCCGTGAGGAGTCATTAAGTTGGAATCCAGAGCATTCCTTCATGCTGACGATCTTTGTCCTGCCCCAGGAGGTGATCAGGAGAATTTCGGAGGAATAATGGGGAGTGCTTTGGAACCCACTGAAAAATCCCTATCAGAGATCAGTCTTCGTGGCTCATCGAAGGAGGAATGTCACGGCTCATTTATTCAATCGTTTTCCGAATTAAATGCCCGAAGACGGGCGAAGTTGCGCATCGCTCTACCAAGCGAGATCGTCCGATAGAAGAATTGCACCGCGAGAAGCGTACCGCGGGGTCGTTTCTGTCAGGAAAATAGTACATGCGCTTACGGTCAACGGGTCACGTGAACCAGTGACGGTTTCGAATTAGAGCGGGGAGAGTGTCTTAATCAAGGCTCCACGGCTGTTTCGAGCCCGCACGCGGGTGGATTCCGCCGCTGAATCTCGAGGGCTTCTCACAGCCGTGGATATCCTGAACGAGCCGCGCACTTTGACGCGAGATCTCGTGATAAATACTCAGCTCGAGCCATAGGGAGCTAAATCCGGGAGGCCGTGACCGGAGGGTACATATACAAATTAAAAATATAAGATCGCGACTCTTCCATTGCCGTGTGGCTGGAGATCATTCGTTGAGATCAATTCTGCGGCGATGCTCAATTTAAGCATACGTCGAGGCTTCCTAGTTTGACGAATCGTTCAGGGAGATAGGAAGCAGCATGATCGTATGAGTGCTCACGTCTTCAGCACATCACGCTCCTGAATCTGGGTGCATTCTCGCAATCACGCTCGGATTCATCGGGTAGACCATCACTGTGCGAAGAGTCGAATCTCCAGCGTTGATACCCACCACAGATTTCATGTCTAATTGTAGAACCTACCCGACAGGGTGCAAACGGCAGTGCGAGTCTATGGTGTCTGATCCATCGGCACGACCCAGGCACCGGCACCTAACCTAACCCTGCCAAGAGGACTCACTCATGATATAATTCGACTAGACTTCGGGATATAATTGGACTACACCATTCAGGCTATCTCCTCGTCATCTCGGAATACCATGGACAGTGAAGCCGCCTCAAGGCGCTGCTCCTGTGTATCTACCCGGCATGATCGCGGATAGATGTGGTGTCCGGTTTCCGGACCCGAGAGTTGCATATAATATCCGGCTGAGCCGTATCGGTACTCTGGAAAATCATATTTGACCTAGGTGTAGGGTTCAGTCCCATAGGCAGACCCACATCATTTCGTACAAAAAGTCGACCAACGGAGTGACGGTTCCAAGGGGCAAGGGAGCGGTCGGACGGTCGCCAACAGGAGAACACAGTATCGCCCCTCCGTTAAAGCACCGACCACCCCACACCTACCCCTCTTGGAGAGTCTCGTCATCGGATCGACCGGGACTCGTCTGAATGAATCTGCGCTTGGCTTTCGGCCTCGATTGGACTAAAACATTGTCCTATAATTAGACTAAAGGGGGGGGGAGCGGAATCCGAGTATTCGGACGCCCAAGATTTCCCCAAACGCGTTCTCTTCATGATTCCGTTCCGGATATCCGCAGTGAGATCTGTGACGTCCAGAACGCGTCAAAGCTGGACGTACACAGTACGAGGTATCTGCTGTATACATGACTAAAGCTCGGGATTCAATGCAATCCGTTGGAAGTTTTCCGTTCTAAGTGGATTCGTTTCGCGAATCTGTACGTGAGTTGAGGCTGAATAAGTTCGAGAGGTTTCGAGCGTTCGCGGGGCTGGTAGTCGTCGCTGTCGAAGTGGAAAATCTGCGAAGAGAGAACAGGGAATTGAGTCACCCTGCGGTCACGCGGAACCTTGAGAGCCTACAATGATTTTATCGCAAGTAACGTTCAAGGGATGGAGGAATACTCACCGCTAGACAGTCGTTAGGTTTGCAACCCTTGAGGGGAACGACAATTTTAGTGTCGTCGGCCACGAAGGTGGTGAACTTCCTCACCCAAGAATAGCCGATGGTAAAGAGGCGCCGAATCAGTTGGCCGTTCCCGTAGTCAAAGAGGAACACATCCCCCTCCAAGCAGCACGTGATCATGAAGGAGAGTCTCAAGGCGACAGCCGAAACCGGATTTGCGTTCTCGTGTCGGCGTAAACACTTCCCACTTCGAATGTCCCAGAGTTTGATCGTCCCCTTCAAATTGCCCGTGATCATCCGATTTGAGCTCGCACATATGTACCGGGTGAAGTCCTCCAAGTCGATGATTGAGATCCACTGACCCTTCATAATGTCCAATGTTAGACCGATCGACGAGCTGTGAACTGCTACGAGTGCGATACCCTGTAAATACCGAGAGATGCTCAAAGTGTTAATCCCCCGAGGTATAGGACGGAGCTCGGTGACCTTTTCTCAAGATTTGCAGCGCCGGAATCGCTTACATCAAAGTATTCGAGCTTGAATATGGAAGTTTGGGTCTTCCTTGTGTAGATGGGTTTCTCCGACGACATGTCATAGACGTAAATTTCGTCGTAGGCCACAACGACCATCCGTTGATCATCCATGGCGACGTGTCGAACCGCGTCCTTATGGTTCGGTAGAATCCCGCAGCACTCGCCCCTGGATAAGTTCCACAAACGAGCACAACGATCTTCAGACCCCGTTACCAACCTGAGAAATTATTGTGCTGTTGGCCATGGACAGAAATTCATTGAGGCGTAGAGAAAGCTCCCAAATACGGGAGTCATCGTTATAATGAGCGGAGATTGTCAAGTCACCTATTTTTGTGGATATGAAAGCATGTCACGTTGGCCGTGTGGCCGGAGAGAACATGCAGCGCTTCACCCGTGGAGACATCCCAAACCCGAGCTGCCGAGTCTTTAGCGATGGACACCAAGATAGCACTTTGTGGCACAAACTCGATTCGAACGAGTGATTTTTTGTGACCAATCAAATTCCATAACAGGCAGCCTGCAAGCGAGCGGAATGTTTTATCACAAGCGGGGTAGAACGACGATGAATACGTAAGTGAATGGTGTCGCTGTACATCCATGGCTCCTGTTCGAGCGCGCCCCGGAGCCGTATGTGTATTCTCCGTCTGAGCTCATTTCCATACTGTGTCTTTGTTACGGAACACGGAAACCGCTGTCAGTCTGATCGTAAACACCGTGTCACTTCTCAATTTTCCCGGTCGTCATTGACGTTGAACCAGCAGAGAATGTCCCAAGTCCTGAGCGATAACACCAGAACCCGTTCGAAGGACATTTCCCACGATGGCAGATTCCCAATATTAATGAGCAGATGCTCGGCCCATGAGCTCAAAAGATGCAAATCGATGCTTTCCGCCTGACGCGAAGAACCTCATTCTCTCCGCGAGGTGGCTCGCAATAAAAAATACTGATCTATCCTCACCGGTCTTAGCGTCCCAAACTCCGAGAGCTGTTCTTGAGAGAGTGGCCACGATCCAGTCTCGATAAACTGCGATGCAGTCCTCGCTGTGTAGGTGATATCCAGCGCACCAAACGGGATCTGCGACGGGTGATTCAGTCCATTTGGTGTGGACTATGTACGAACGTTTCCATGTGACTTCAGACTGCAATCAAGGAGATGTACACACTTCCCTCAGTAATTTGCTCAAACACTAATGAATCGTCTCAAAGTGAGATATTCCAGCTGATGATTCGGCATCCGGGCCCCCGAAATCGGGAGCTTGCCTCCCCGTCAAGCGTAGGGAACCTCCCGTCCATCATCTGCGATTTCTGGCCAGAATTTTATATCACGATCGTGGAAGCTCGGATTCGTGGTAGCGGGATCGTGAGGAATTCTCGACACATGAGAAGCCCATAAGTTTGTCAATCATCCAAAGCGAGAATCACCGATTAAAAACGAATACTCGAATAAGTTTCGATGATGGAATCCTCTCAAACCCTAAGTCGGGAAACCCCATCTGTTCTCCAACCATTCTCCCCGCTTGCGTACAAACCTCGTCATTGTTGAGGACGGCGTCAATTTTACAATATTTTTTCTCCAAGCATTTCCGCCGCCAGAGACTTTCGTCGGAAGAAAGCCTACGGAATCGGCGGCAAGTGCGGCCCAGTGCGATGATCTGCTTGGCAGGCAGAAACGACATGATTTTGAGGAGAATTTCATTTGGTAATGTCGACAAGTAATCCACGCATTTCTGAGTACAGTTGAGCTTGCTTTGCTCCATCCGAACACGCGGGAACGCCGTCATGAGTGAGTCCTGGAATCGGTGGAAATCCTAGATTAAATCTCGCGTTCAGACACCGCCGATCAACCTCGTCCGCCGACCCGACTCATCGCGGGAATTATCCCTCGGATATTTTTTTTCAATTTTCCTCCGCCTGAGCTACGACAGCTGACGTGAGTTGGTTTTTCTACGAGATCGCAAATTTCGATGTGCTGTCTGGCTCGCAGCGATTCGCATTCGCTGATCGATTCGTGGGATCATATCATCCGGCAGCTCTGATGTGAATATCACAATCGCCGTGATATCAGAACATTGTAGCACTCCACTTTGATTCGAGATGTAATTGGGCAATACAAGCGTTCGCTTCCCGTAGTGTGATTAGCGGAACGAATCGGCGAGTTGGTCGATGCAAATGCTTGCTCATTCAAAGCTTTCGGGGAACCCCGTCTCCTGCACAAACAAGGCAATCGATCGCCGAAAGATTACATCGCGCTGCCCGGATCTCGGACACAATGATCGCTAGAAAGATTCGCGGGATCAAGAAAATAGGGAAGTTGTCCCACTTCGCTCTAGCTGAGCAGGGAGAAGTTTCCCGACGATGCGATGCCCGGGACCACGACAAACTTCGCCTCATGACGTTTTTTTTGCTAGTGTCTCCTCGAGACTCCCCGGGTTGTCTTAGCGTTCCGATAGCTCACGCTCAGAAATGTGTCTCTTCGCTGCAAGAGGTTACGGACACGATCGAGGAACTTCATGTGAAAGATTCAATCCGATAAAGGATCTCCGGACTACCGAGATGCTTGCAATACAGTCGCGCATCGGAGTACTCGCAGGGAGAATAACGCATACATCATCAGACAAGGAGATCAAGACGGGGGAGAGAAACAGCAGCCTCTCGTAACAGCAGACGGAAAGAAAGAATATCGGACTAATTGCGTTCCGATCGATCCATCAGTCTCCCCGACAGGGGCTGTCCGCCGGTGCGTCGCGTCATCCATCGCGAGTCGTTTCTCGAAGCCGTTGGGCCTCCAACACAATTTCCCTGATGCTAAAAAACGATCGTGAAGCCGCCATCGATTTCAAGCAACGTCTACCGTGCCTCCACCTGCTCTTCGGATCGAGGCTCGAAGCTTTTGGAGCGCGTTGAATTTATGGGAGAAAATCACTCACCGAGGCCCAATCACGCAATGGCTCTGAGCCGAAGAAAAACGCTGCGTGGAAAGAAGAGAGGAGTCGCGAGTCGAAAGAATCATAGGTCATTACGAGATTTCCATACGGACTATTACTGCGTATGAGATTTTGAGTCGAGAGGCATTCCGTACGGACTCGAGTCGAACTCCGCGCCTCGACATTCTTGTGATGAATGAGCTCCACGGGAAGCATCACCCTCCGTTCCAATCGAAACATATGAATAAGGAATAGACACACTCCGACAAGTCGATAGGTCTCTTCCGGCCTGTGTCTCTGTCAACAACGGGGGGCCGTCAGGCTACATCGACCAGAGACAATCGAAACACGACTGCGGACACAGGTAACAAGAAGGGAGCACGTAGTTTCGCAGACGTAGCGTCTTGTTAAGGATTTTCTTCGGTTTGGAGGGGGGAAACACCGTAAAAAAAGACGGTCTAGCTCGCAAAGCCCACGATTCCGGCCTTTGATCCGAGGTACCCGTATTGAGGGTCGCTGACATCACAAAACGTCAGTGTTCGAAATGCTTATCCTGAATAGCGGTCAAGTCCAGATCGGTGAAGATACCCCCGCTGGCCTTTGAGTGATCGACAAATGCTGCTCTACTGACCTGGACGTGAATAACGGCGGACTTTGGTGCCGCTTATTTGGCCTGGACACTCGTCGACTCAGTCCGTGCCTCACTTGCGTTCTTCTCCACTGAGAGTGTGTGGGGTCTAATGCGTCAGCTGGGAGAGTATCCGGAGAGACCGTGGAGAGGGTTCATAGTTTCGAAAACACGCGCCACACAACCGCCCTTTCTTGCCGGAGGGATAGAGGCGGCGCAACGGGTGCAAGTCCCGCCACGTCTTTTCTTGCGTGAGGACTGAGAGATTATTATTATTATTATTCGAAGCTCGTCGCTCCGGCGAGTCTCCACCCGCGGGTACTGCTCGAAATGCGACGGAAGAGCGATCAGATCGAGCTGAGGACTCCCGCGGCCGTCTGTACGGAATCGGTACGGTCAACCTGGAGCAGTCGATTGCGTCCATCAAAACATTCGGTAGCTTGTGCGGAGAATCCGTCGCGGCGAGACTAAGGAACTAGCTCTCAAGCCTGCAGCCTCAAGCTTTGATCGCGATGGGGTGCTTAGGCGGCCTATGAGCCTCGAATCTAGAATTTACGACCCATGGATGAGCTGAAGCGAAGGGCTCATCAAGGGGCTTCAGCGATTCTCTCGGCTTGCGAATGCAAAAGCCCGCTGGTACTCTCGGAACTCACCGGAGCGCCTGCCCCAGCAGCCCGCTGCGGGTGGTCAGCTTGCTCCCGAAGGATGCACGCCGCCGACCGCCAGGAGCCTCCGTTGTAGACACCTAGGGCTGAGCATTCATCGCGCGCGCCTCGCAGTCCAAGCAATTCCGCCGCATCTCGAGCCGATTCTTCAAGAATAGCCCATTCGTAAACAACAACGGCAACAGAAAGAGCGCGTGTCCGGGGTCCTGCCTCTCGTTCGACTATGATAGAAAACTGTCAGAGAGATGACCCGTTGAATTACTTTAGATCAGCAACGTATTTTATGATCTTGATGATGTCCGGATGCAGTTCCTTCTCGCCGGGGTGCTCAAGGAGCCTGACTTTATCTAGAGCGAACCTCTTCAATAGAAGATCGTACAAGAACAATAATTGTTCATCGAGATAAGCCCCACCTCGGGAGAAATCCGTTTCTTCGATAATCTTATTCAGCTCCTCGGAATCCGGACCCCAGATCTTCAATTGTTTCTCTATCGCTGGCCAATCGAATTTCTTGTCGCGGAGATGCTGGATGGATTCCATGTGGAGAGCCACGACCCGATCGTCCGAGTAGTCATCCAAGTCGGCGCCCATCACGACATAGAGAGGAGCTACCCACAAAAACGCGATTGTGGAGAGAGAGCACAACATCACTAGCAGCACTGACAGAAATTCGACTGCAAGACCGTCCGGTATCTCATGTCAAGCTGACTACCAGCTTCCCGCTTCGTTTTTCTCTTCCTGAAACGACGCGAAGCACTGATGGCGAATACTCGATGGGCAGTCAAGGAGAGACCCGCCGGCCTGACCCGTCATGCGTTAGAATCTCGCAACTGGGTGAATAAGAATGGGGGACGGCAACGAGAGTCACGTCCGTTCATTGATTAGCCAGAGGCCACGGCTCGCACTCGATTCCATATCGTCCAGTTTTTGATCACCCAGGTCCCAGGTCGCGTGATCGGTACCTGGGGTTTTACGCTTTACGCTCGCTCTCACGTGGAACTGGCTGTAGAACCCAGGTGGAGCTGATTCGTGGGGCGCATCCCGGAGCGTTGTATTTTCCACATCGATATCAACACCGAGTGCAGGCTTCGTCGATTTGACGTCTAGTTGCGGAGCGAGAATCGAAGATGTCGATGCTGATTCGAATAATTGTTTGGAACTTGAACGAGCTTCGATTGGACGCTTACCGCATTCAATAATCGCTCCTGTATGGAACGACGCTTGTCGGAAGTGGATCGTCTCTCAGGAAGGAGTATACTCACATCAATGAGTTAACTCTCGGTCGAGCAAGATGCGACTCGCTCTCTCATATGTATTTATTATGGAAATGGTCGCTCTTGAGGACAGCGAATCGAGACCGATAGCGCTCGCCATTCGCCATCCGTCCAATCGTCTACGGAACTATTTTCCCTCTTGAAGGTTAGCGACGAATTTTATGACTCGCAATGCTTCGGGAGTCAGCCTCGGTCCTTCGGGATGATCTCTCAGTTTTTGTTCGTCAACCGCCACTCGTTTAGCTAGGGTTTCGATGATTGCATCCATTTGCTGCTCGATACTCTTGGCATCGTCTTTCCTTTGACGACCGGAGTCTTCCGAATGTCGCGACGCGTAATCCTCGGGCCACCAGATGTCCATGATCTCATATATTTCTTCATATGTCTTGCCTTCCTTCAGTAGACTCTCGATTTCCTCGCGATATTTCTCTACCGAACCAGTCTCCTCAGAACTCACACTTTTCGTCAACAAAATCGAGCCGAGGGTCAATAGCAGAAATGTCGATCGGCGCATCTTTCTTCGACAGCTGTCGCCTCACACTGACTGCCTCCTGCCTCCCATTCGTCCTCAATCCTCGATATGAATCCGTCTGCTCACACTTCGTAGGCTTCAGTGGGGAGAGATTCAGAATTTTACTTATGAATTCGAGCGGTGTTTTTAGTTTCTGAGGGTGGGGGGAAACGAGCGTGAGGAGCAGAAGTTAGACATCTACGAGGAGCTGCATCGCATTCAGGAGTTCAGGAGACATTGCGATAATACACTCGGAACCGAGACTCGCCTCCCTTGAGAACTCCTGCGGATGGCGCGGCTGCGACCTCCAGGTTTCCGTCGATCGAAGGCGCATCTGACGGTGAGGTGCTCCAGCAATTCCTGTGGGGAAGATTCACTTCTCAAGTGCAGAGCTCTTTGCTCAAGGCACCGACGCTTTGGCGGCATCATCGAGCCACCATCTCTTCTTCTGACAAACGTGAGGATCAATGCAATGTGGGTGACCAGTGCCGAGCTGCATCCCCACGAGCCACGAGTTTCCGAATGAGGCGGAGAGGAGCTGAATTTTGACAATTAAGACCGTTCTTTCCATTTCCTCGCCTCGACATCTTCATCGGAAGCCTGCCCGAATTCCACTCACTGAGCTGTTCAGTGATCGCTTCTAGCTCCCAGATATCCCTAATTGCCAAACCTTCGACTCAATTTCAAATGTTCTCGCGACAGACGAGTGCACGGTTCAGGCTCGCGGCTCCATATTGAAAAAACACGAATAATGCTCTCCTCGTCTAGACCCATGATCCATCATCCGATAGGCGACAATACATTCCTATCATTTGCACTAGAGCTTCACATGTTCCGAAAATGAAGGAGGAGGGAATGTCGGGGGGTCCTCAGGAACATTGTTCTTGCATGTTAGGCCAGGAGAAATATACGGAAGCTTGGTTGGTCGTTCCTGTCGCCAACCAGCTGATGGAGGAGCTTGGGACGAGCGGAGGAGCTGCAGTCGAATCGGTACCCTCAGATCGGAGTCTCGGAGATTTATCTTCAGGAATCGGAAGGAGACAGCGAGGAGCAGAATATCTCGTCCATGTTTATTAAATAGTCCACTTCCCTTCGGAAAAACTGCTATGTGTGGTAATATGGTATGGCACGAGGGGCCTATAGCACTAGGGAATCATCAGGATAGTGAATAATCCGCACCGGGATCTTTTGTGTAAGGATCATCGGTCCTCAAAGTACAATCATCGACTTTTCAGAGAGAGATCATTTCGTCACCTCCTCCTGAGCTAGAGGTGAGTGTTCCGGCACGTCAGATTCAGCGTAACCTCTTGCATAGTAGAAGATACTGACGAAACCAATGACGAGGATGGATACGAGGACGACAAGAGTGCTTGCCAAGGAGATAGCGGCAATCGCTTTTGTGGTGGAGCTCTTGGTGCTGCTGAGTGTAGTGACCGATACGCTTCGGCTCAAAGATGTAGAAGACGGCAACTCTAATGAGCGAAGGAAGATATCTCAAAATACGACCCCTGGATCCTGGACCCTAGATGGATTCGCTCGATTTTCTATTAAAGCGATTCTTCTCACCTCCGGCCATATTGTAGATATTGCATGCTACTTCTCGTTGTTGTCGAGCAGCCAATGATGAATTCGTGAGCGTCTCACCGGTACCGTCAAGGTCGCATCGAGTCCTACGCCCTGGAAGTTGGGTCCTTCTCCGAAAAGGCAGTGACGAAGAAGCTCCGGAGAAGCTCCCTATTCCCTTTGCCGCGAAGAAGGGTACGCTCGAGCGGAATTATCATGAATCATTTTCGTTGGGCCTCTCAAACACTGAAGGATCTGGAAATATCTTGCAGATCTCCAAATTTCATAAAACAATGATGCCGACCGCGTGCAAACCTTTGAATATAATCCCTCCCAGTCTCGCTGGACCAGATACGAATCGCAAACTGATCTCCGGAGGGGAAAATGCTAAGGAGTTCGGAGAAGGCTAGTGGATGAATACTTCAACGTCATTGAGGCTTTTCTCTTGATTTCTATCGGCGGACTCCAGGCTACCACATCATTCACAACAGTTGCGAATTCCCTCCTACCCTTATCGCGATGAAGGTCTTCCCCTTTCGGATGCCAAAGCTGCTCTGCAGAATCGACTTCCCAGAACATTCCCTCTTGACACAGGTACTTCGACTGCAAGCCCTCAATTGAGCTTCACCGGATTGACCTCAGTGACAAGGCTCTACTTCAACTTGTGTGCGACACTTATCGTCATTTTTCTCGTCTTCTGCGTCTGGCTTCAGAGTTCCCTCATTTACGCTGCGATGAAGCGGAGATCCTCCACAATCGGATTGAGAGCGATGACGACTCACGCTCCGGATCAGGATTCCGCTCCGGAAACAAGTCTTGCAATCGCCGAGAATATCACACAGTTCCTCGATTCTTCGTTCGGAGTCTAATCGAGGCGGAGAGTATGATAGAAGAGACCCGTACGATCGAAAGGAGCCGTGAGAGCTCAGCGCTCATGACGACTTTCGACGGGATGATCTTGCTCTTGGTGGCGATCTTTGTCCATGAAAATCATGCTCACTCAAAAAGTCGAACGGGAACACAGCTCTGAAATAGCACGAGAACGACTCCGATACATAAGCGGATATCCCTGGGATGATCACCTCATCTATCGGAGCAGGGCAGATATCGTCGTGGTTCAGAGATATGATTGATGTCGATAAATTGACAGCAATATGAACAGCATAAACTCGAGACATAATTTCGTCACGCACGAGAGCGAATAATTTGAAATGCTCAATTCGATTCGATATTTGGTATGATATGCTCAATTTTGAGAAGGATGGCCCCGGATGAATATCGCCGAAGTTTTCAAGCTCAGGTAGCTAAAGTGCCTCCTTGTTCCGGAGCGACGGTACACGGAACCTGGATACCTACCTGTCTCGGTCCTCGTCCCCGCAATGCTCTCGATTTCGCAAACCCAGGCCAGCTTTCATCGGACGTCGGGACAATATTTCCCGCAAAGTTCTCGTTACTCCTGAGGGAGACATGTCCTGCGATATGTCGATCACAATAAATGATGCCCCGATAGCCCTAAAATAAGGGAACACGGCGCGTTCATAGCTCGCGCTTTTTATTCATGTCTCCGTCTCGCTTGCTCCTAACTGACTTAAGAGAATCCAAACATGTTGAGAAGTTTGAAGCCCTTGTGACCCGTTTCGTGGCTTATGCGATAGCGGAAAGGTTGCACGTCAGAGTACTTGGTGATGAACTTGTCTCCGATCTTACTCTCTTCGACGCACGTCCTTGCTGAGGCATCCGGCTGATCGCATGCTTCTTTACACATCTTGACGATCGCGTCTTGAATCCTCCTCCCGTGTCTGACTTTCATCTCGAAATTGTCCTTCATCGTGAAGTTGAGAGTGTATTTTTCCCAGACTTCTTCGGTGGTGGAAGTGATCATGAAGCGTTCCTCGGTCTTAATTTCGTACAGCTCAACGTAGATGCTTCCCTTCCTTTCCCCATTGCGTTCCTCAGAAGCCTTCAGCGCTTTGCAGAACTCGTCGATGAATTCAGAGATGTCCTTGTCGAATTCAGGTGATGTGGCGCAGATGTACACCAGCGGGAAGCTTTCACACCAAACATCCTTTTCTTCCATTTTTCCCATGTCGCATTTCCCGTCCTTGCTATAGGTGAATTTCCCACAAGAGCGAAGATAGAAGAGACTTTTCACGAAGCCGCTCACAGCGTCTTTGAGTTGAGGTTCTCCTACGACAGCCTCATACTCGAAATGGCGTACCATCGTGAATGGATCGCAGCGAGAGACGCAATCTAAGATCGAAGTCTGGAGAACCTGGGCGACGTTCGGCTCGCGTGTTTCTGAAGAGCGATTTCTGTTAACTGGCAGGTCGCACGGCTCGGATTTTGTCGATGAAGTCGGGATCCAGTAGAGGAGTTTCGTTGTTTGTTTAGAATACTCCTTAAATGTCTCTTCCCATCAGAGCACTCATTCAGAGCAGAAAACTCATGAAGCTGAACGCGGTTACTTTCGATTGGGCGTTTTCTTTATATTTCCTTGGATGCTCTCTAGGATTCACGGCTCCACCCCATGCCTTGGATAGGAGAAGAGGAATCGGAGCTCGGGCTCGACGGAGCTTCGAGCGGAATCACCGCGTCGCCCTCCAGGATGAATTTACCAGATCGTTCCTCTCCGAGACTCAATAACCGATTGAGAGGAATTTCGAAAATTCCTCCGGAAACCCGATTTCACAGCAATCAGACGCATATTCATCTGTACCCGAGACAACATTGGGCATGACATCGGGCTCGGTCGCGATGCCAGAGAGCATGCAGCGTATCCCCCGAATCCTTGAGGGAATCGATGAATCGGATCACTCTCAGATCGTACGATCTAGGGAATCAACATTATAATTCGTGACTTCTTTCTGACGGAGAGTATCATGATTTTTCATGATGAATGATAAGGCCTAATACTGCCTCGATGGGTCTCTCATCTCTCGTGCGCGCGTGGTGCAGAGCGGTCCCGGCACGCGGGATACGAGGGATGGGAAGAGAGCCATGTCTAGGTCCGACGGTCCGAGGTCTTGTGGCCGTTCGAATTTTCCCTCGGTCAGTCGCCTTGAAATCGAACTTCTCTACGTTGCCACCGCTCCCTGCTTTAGAAATTTAGGGCGTCCTCAGATACTCTCATGAACAATTTGGGCCCTAGGTGTCCCAGTACAAATCTTCAAACACGTGTCCAGACGGTGTCATAGTCGGAATTGCGGCGACTCTCGTTCGGAGCAAGAGACCATTCGTCTCTCTGTGTCTGCCTTTCTTCCGGAAATCATTGTCAGCAGGCCCCGCTCTCGTCTACTCGATGGCGAAGCCTAAGCTGGTCGTATTCGACCTTGGTGAGTCCTCTGTCGATTCGAGTAGGTCAGCCGTTCAGCGAGCCCCACATCAAAATAAAAGTGGAATTCTGACGTCACTCTCTACCCAAAACTGAGACTTCGACACGGTTCTCCTCGGAGAAAGCAGTTGACGGCCGACCCGGTCGTTGGAATATCTGGCAGTCTCGGAGGAGCTCCGGAAATCGAAAGGAATACTCCTGACCGAACATCTTCGTCCTCAAATTGTCCATGAGCTCCCAATCCTCGCTAGAATATCCAGTGACGAAAAATTTGGGAGAAATTCAATGGAGGAATCGAGGTAGCGAAGAGCCATGATTTCCGTGATTCATTATCACCGAATCGTCTTTCCAGACTACACTCTGTGGCCTCAGCACGTTGACTGCACCGTCGATCCTCCGTTGCGGAAAGACAAGTTAGTCCCCCAATCGCATTCCAAGGGCTGAGTTTATCCATTCCGATATGATTCTGTCTCATTCGTGGAATTCTCTACGAATTGTTCATCGAATTCGGTCTCAACCTGAGCGTGCCGAGCATCAGAAGTTCAAGATTGCTTGACTTCACTGCAGGAACGGCAACATTTTCGATGCGGACGGACAAGCCGTCAAGCCTTTCCCAGAGGTAAGTTTCAGATCGTTCCACCAGTCCCTACCTAGAACTAGCCCCTCAGGGCAGTGGCGCCCTTGGAGGACATGGAGACATGCCCCCACCCCCAAAGGATCCCTTCCCGGCGCATAGGGCTCTGAAGTTGAGGTTCATCGTCATCGGAAGTTGGCCCCTACCGAGTCGATGGCCCCACGCCCTTCCCTCACCCCAAAAAAAACCTGGGCACGCGCCTGCCATCGAGACGCAACTTCCCGAGTGACCAATGCTTTCCTGAACAATCTCAGGTCCCTCGCCTATTAGAGAAACTCCGACAAGACGGCTATCAGATTGGTGCCGCTTCGAGAACAGATTCTCCACCTGTTGCGAATCAACTCATCAAATTGCTCGATTGGGACAAGTACTTTGATTATCGTGAAATCTACCCAGGCTGCAAAGTCACCCATTTCAACAAGTCAGTACACCAATGGTTGTCAGATGTCATCTGCCTCATGTTGGCGATGATATTTCACGGCGACGGCTCCTCTTGCTTTCCGGGACTGATTGTTATTCCCCCCAGGTTCAAGAAAGACTCGGGCATCCAATTCAAGGACATGATGTTCTTTGATGACGAAATGCGCAACATCCGCGACATTTCGAAGCTGGGCGTCACGGCCGTCTACGTCACTCACACTGGCATGACGATGAAACTCTTCGACGAGGGTCTGGCTGAATGGAGGAGGAAGAATGAGAATTGACAATGATTGTTATGCTTCGATTGTGATCGGATGAGTCAGAGATGTGATCAGCGAATGGGTGTATGTTTTTCTCCCTTCTCGAGATTGTCTACTTGGAGGCTTTTCGGAGATCGCTACTCGAATATCTTGATTTGTTCAGAATCCGAGATCGACCTTTGTGGCTCTCGAGTCGAAAGCAGAATAAAGTCGTGAAGAAGAGCGCGGAGAATATCTTCCAGAGACAGATGCATGCGAGTTGAGTTTGGAATGATTCAGCGGAGCGTCCTGGGGAACTACTTCGCATTTTATTGGGAGACAAGGACCAGTCAGTATTCATCCCGAGAATTCAGTCCGCTCCTCTCCTATCTCCGGTGAGGAATATTCCTCCAATTTCCTCCTCAGAATAAATTGCACCAATCGTGGATATCGACTGAAACCCGGAGAATGGGATCATTTGCGGCTTAATCCGTGGGATCTCATGGTGGGCCCTCGAATTTTCTCCGACTCGTAAAATTATCGATCAGATATCGAGGTCGGTGTGGATACTCTCTCAACGCTTCGAGTCGTCGCATTTCAGATACTTACAGCCAGGCTCCTTCCGAGGCAATAGAACCCCGTCGGTCATGCAAGCGTACAGTCTGCGGATGGGTATGCGAGTGAAAGCGAAAGCTAGGTTAACTTGGAAAACATCCGAAGAAGACCGTCCAGATTCCTCAGAGGAGCGAAGTGAGGTACTTGCCCTTGCTCGGGACAGTCATGCGGCTTGAGAGTTCGCGTGAAGCAGAGCCCGACTTTGGACAGAATGTGGGGCTGCTCATCATCGAGATTTTTCCCACGGCAAAACAGAGCTGGTTTCTTAGGGTGAAACTTGTTTATAGCTCCGCGAAGTACCGTCTTGGCTACTTTCTTCTTGTCAGACGGTCTGATGCCACTTTTCTCCATATTCGCTTGGAATATTGGAGCAAGAAGTCAGAGAACACGGGAGGAGTGCTACTTCAAATATTGGCCCGTCGAGGGTCATGGAACTCCTGTCGTAACCTGTCTTGGGCCCCGGAGCAGACCATATCGGAGAACGGTAACCTACCTTCGAAATCGGCTTGCTCGTAAAGGCTCACAGTGAGAAACAGGTAATGCTCCAAGCTCGGGACAGTGCTGGGCGATCGGAGAAAATGTTATTCGTGGAGATCAATTTGAAATTGGAGCTGATTTGAAAATGAATCGATCTCCCGCAGTGAGGCACTTCATTGGAACACGTCGCCGAGCTCAGCTTCGAATCAGCTTACTCTTTCCTCATTCGAATTTCTTCCTCCACAAAGAGAGGAAGAAGAGAGACAGAAGATCCTTCTTCTAGTCCGAGAGAGTGCGACCAGAATTTCGACAACCAGTATCTGCCGCGGTCACTCGCTGAAATGCGCCTCGCGTTGGGTTTGAATCCAGAGCACAAGATCGAACGATTCGAGTAGGTACTCGGATCTCATGAATCGCGACACTCACATTTCAGGAAATCTACGTAGAATTCTTTGTCAAACTCTGGTACCGGAGTGAATCGCAGTGGGTTCAAAGGTCTCAGGTGTCTCAGAGTCCATCTGCCGAGAAGAGAAATGAAAGCTGAGGATCGATCCCATTGGACATGTGCCTCGGCAGTCGATTCCACGCTCTCGTTCGGGGTTCGAGATTCCACTCACCGCATGGGTGCTCCTTTGTACTTGGCACGGCATCGACCCACGCCGTTCGGAAGGGTACCATTATAGCAAAATCCGGCAATATATATTATTTCAAGCATCAGCTCTGCGTGCTCGCTTCCATCTGTTCTGAGGTCAGAGAATCAGGATCTCGGTTTGAAAAACGTATTGATGATGACAAATAACTCGCGATTGAGGACTCGATCTGTGGGCCTTTTCGTGGGCTTGAGCATACATTATGCCCCGGGTAAAACAGGCTATCGCTGGGTGCATGGATCGAATGGAAAAACTGAAGCTTCACGATCCCCTCTTCCGGAAAAAATCGAGAGTGCAACGGATGAAATTGACTGACGAGGCTCACCTAACTTCAACTCCCCTCGGATCGGATTTTTTAGAGTAAATCGCTTCCCTGGAAAATCATTCGAATTAGATCGCCTGTCTTTGCGGGAGGATGGATTAGAGTTCCTTCGTGGAACGGAACTCTCTCGATAGCTCGATGACCTATAAACGATGTACTCGGTGTATTACATCTGATTCTGAAGGTCTGAGTCTTCTTCTGCATCCGAGTCCATGTCTCCGCTGAAAAAGAAACGATGACGCTCAATCAGGCAAAGGATCAATATTTCCCTCAGGAGCCCTCGCTCTTCAGGGAAAACACATGTTTTTTTCTTCTCCGAGCTCACGGCTCTAAGGAACATCGATTCCCTACGAAGCGATCCCAGAAAACTGCAAACACCGCCCACCTTTCGTTCTTCAGCTCACTCTCAATGACGTTCAAGGTCCTCTTCGTTGCGAGAATCCATCGCTTTTTCCAATAAAGTTCGGGTTGTCGAGAACCCAATAGTTTAAGTCGATGAATGGTGAGCGGCACGAAAGCCCCACTCTCCTCATCAAAGACTTCCATATCTGAGCTTTCGTATCGCTTCATGAGCTCGTCGAAGCTCATTTTTTTCGTTCGCCCTTTCTCCACGACTGTGAGGCCGTCGCGTTCAAACTCGATAAAAGCCTTCAACGTATCAATGAGGCTCGCCTGGACGGGAATGGTCTCCCCGGTTTTGAGCTCGACCTTGACGATTCCGAATGTATCCGGCTTGTACACTGGGAAGCCATCAGCGTCGAGCTTCAATGTTTTCGCGTACATGCGTTTCTCCATCCACTCTATCAGAACCTCCGCCGCGCTTTGCAAGTTCTCGAGCTCGTTGTACACCCTCAACGAAGATTTCTCCCTCGTGGAAGTCTCGAAAAGATCTGCAGCTTCTTCCCACAGGAGAGAAACCTCCGTCCCATCGTCGAGCTTGACTCTGATCTTGTTCTTCGCGACTATGTCTCTGAGCTCCTCGATCGTGAGCCTCTGTTCCGGACCGTCTCGAGAGAACTGAACCCTGAATTTCGGCAGTCGTCTGGGTGGAACCGGGCCGTTACCGCCTCGGAGCGTCCCACTGGAGTCTAAACTCGCTGTTTCTCGTGATAACACCGCTACCGTGCAGATCAATGCCAGAAGTTTACACGATTGTTTGGGCGTGATCCTCGCGAGATCCCCGCCACCGCGGAACCTGAAGCCGCTCCGGTGCAGGAGGAAGCCTGAGAAAGCGCCCCAAACGAATATGTGCAAGAGTAAGTCAGATTTCATAGCGATTCGTGAACCGCAGCAGTCGTCGGAGAAACTTCGTTATCGAGACATGTCTCACCCGGTATGAAAACGATGGATCGAAATTGCCGACTATCGGATTTTTCCTCTGCGAGAAATCGAGTGCATCGCTCCTCTGCTAGAGAACTGCGAGAATCATTGGAATCATTCCGACTGTCTCTGCCCTACTCTGGAGTTCATATACGGATAGTACTCCGCATTCCAAGGAGACTTTCTCCTTCATTTAGGTCAGGCAAGCGAGCGTAAGGGAGAACAGCTACGGATAAGGAAACAGGTGTTATTCAGCCAACTTGAGCAGGAAGCTTCTTCCCGAATGGATCGACTGCATCGGAGCCAATGAAGGCTTCATTCGTTCACTGAATGATTGTCGTTCGTTCATAGCGGCTCCGCGACTATCGAGAAGTTTCGGGACATGTGTTGTCCTGCTCGCCGATGACGGAGAATTTCGGCGTCCGCGTTAACCTGAATCTGGACTTCAAAGATCAGATTGTCCGAGTGGTCCGATCCTTCAATACGCTCATTAACACCATCTTTCGCTGTTTGATAATCGGAGAGCGACACCGACATTCGACTCTTCCACTCGCTTATCATTCCCCGGCATTCGTATTGTTCCCGAGTTTGTCACCTATCCCTGATTCATCTCCGAAAAATCCTCGACGGAGTTCCGATATACTTCAGGAAAAGACTCATGCTTCGCTGCCGGACCGCCGTGTTGGAGTGGGATCCCAAGCCCCCCAAGGATCTGTTTGATTCTAGACGACGACTCCGACCTCCGCATTCTCACGCAGGTCTGCAAGATCGATCTCCTCGACGCCTTCTTCAACATTAGAGCAATCAACCAGCGAAGTGGAGGCTACACCTCACCGGATTTGTCGCCAACGCCGAAGGTTAGAATTTTTTTTTCTTTGCCTGGCGAATATCGAAGTTTGCACACGCTCATGGCCAAGTGAATATGGGAAATTCTAAGTGAGCGAGTTTTTCGGATCACTTATTCACCAGGAACAACTTCCATTGTTCGTTCAGGCCTCGCGTGCCTGGGTGACAATGTGTAGGGAAGAGCGAAAGCAAGATGTAGCGGGCCATCTTGTTAAGAGGTTTCCCCTGGATAATTGTATTGGGACACAGTGGGATGACTTTCTGGATCAGACGCACGCTCGATAGCTGGTTGCTCGCTTGGTTGACTTACCGACTGTCTGTTGATGCGAGCTGACATCGGACGCAGTTGCTGAACGGCGCTTCGCCAACACAATGAACTCGTATTACAATATATGTCTTCAGAAAAACTTATGTTTGTCATGCTGATTCGTAGCTTCGAAGCAGCTCTAGTAGCTTCCGAATTCTGAGTGGAACGATTTGATGGAATCGCTGAAGTTCCTCGGAGAAAACACACCTCCTTACAAGCCGGCCTGAGGGACTCGCTCCTAGGATGAGATCGAAACCGGATGAAGGCGACAGAAACGCTTTGAGTTTAGGGCTCGTCATCGAATTACGATCGTATCCGATCGCGATCGATTGGGGTCAGCTCTTGGAAGCTCTTCAAGTTTCGTGAGAAGTTTTCGAGAAGCGTCCCCGGATCTTCGCTCTTGCGACACTATTTCAAGACGTTGCTTTTCGGAGTCTACGAGGACTGAAGAGCGCAGATCGGACGTCGGTCGTCGAATGGAAAATTTCAATCTCACCGCTCGAGCTGTCAGCAGTTTATGTACCGCATGTATATTAGGCATTCCCTTGAGCTGGCCTCCCCCATGCGTGGCATACCTGCCCGAGGAACGGAAAATGGGAGAAACTTGGCGAATTCTCGAGGGAGAAAATAAACTACTGTGGCCGCTCGCGACTCGCCGGAGTCGATTTCGTGCCTCTCTAGGAACAAGCAAGTTTTCGAATCCACCGACGGGCTGTCTGGAAGTCAGACAGCCCCCACGCAGACTGGTTCGCGGTGGCATCCTCATGGCGCATTGTCATCGGGTGCCGGTTTTCAGAGCGTGCCCAAAGTTGGGAGGAAGGGAAACTCCACCCAGTCACCCAGGCGTCCACACCGCATTGTCGCTGCAAGCTTCGTCATTTGTGCTGCGATCGTGCTGGTGATCAACGGAGACGATGCGCGGGTTCGCGAGTCTCTTTGCATTCCTAGTGCTTCTGTGGCCTCTGGAGGCGAACAGTAATGTGACTCTGCCCCATTCGGTACAGCCGAATCCTCGTGCCACCCAGGCCCGCCAGGGTCGGACTCTTGAGCCCCAAGTTAAAGCTGAGTTTCGTTCCATGCATTCAGAGGAGAGTCAACACGTGATTGAAGATCCAGTACACGATCTCAAAACCCCTGGATACGTCGAGGGAGGTGATGCCGAGAACCCCGGAGACGTCGGGGTCACAGCGTCGCTTATCGAAGGAACAGGCCCGCCAATGGAAATTTCCCGACGCATGGACGTTGAGAGTGAAGTTCTCCCACCGGAAGAGATCAAATCCAAGACACTCCACTTCAAGAGACAGGATAACGAAACTGTGGTTCTCTATCGGCCCCGCAACCGTTCGCGTCAAGGATACCAAAGGAGTAGGATCCTTGTGCAGAAACCGTCCGGTGGTCGGAACCGTGAAATCCACAAGGGCAAGTCTCTCTTCTACGATAGCTCCGCCGAGTTACTCGGTGTGCCGAGCAGCCAATCCCCAATGGTGGTCCCGGTGGTGACGAAGGTACTCCCGGACAGTTGCGCGAATCGGTCTTGCGTCGCTAAAGTCGATGTAGGGGTTTCGGATATCGAGAGACCGCTCAACTTACTGTCCAATTTGCCGGCAATCGCTGACCTCGGAGGTCTTGCTTTCCTCTCGAAACTGGCGAATCTATCCTATTTATTGAACGCGACCAACATGGAGACGCACGACCCTCAACCAACCAGGTCGCCGACGATGCAGACATCTGGCGATGCCAATATCCGATTGGCGGAGAGCAAATTCCACCAAGAGGAAAACTCTGATCTTCTTTCCGCGGAAAACACAACCCGCGAAGTGGAAGGTCGGGATCGAGGCAGCAATGCAAGATCGCTCTTCAAACTGCTCGGAGGAGGGGGGAACGTGGGTGTGGGGGGCGCGACCCAGATGTCTGCTCTCAATGCGAGCACAACGGCGACCACCACAGCGACGAAAACTCCGGAGAAAGAGAGTAAAATGTCCCCATTCAGATTCGGTCTCCAGCAGTTGTTCACACCGAGACTACCGATGGCTTACAATCCAATGCTGGCCTACTCTCCCCAGTATCCTCTGCTCTACCCAACCAGATCGCCCCTCCTCCCGCTCTATGCGGCAAACGGTTTGATACCGACCATGACCACGCGAGCTCCTCTCACGACCTCGGCTCCCTCCTCAGCGTCCATCATCGCTAGTCCAGAACCCAGAAAGTCTTGCTCGGGAGAATGCATCGACGTTTTCGCCGCTCTGATGTGCGATCAGGTCGATGAAGAGGCTCATTGCGATCAATTGACTCAAAGATGCTGCGTCAAAGGTACGGAACAGGTGACGAAATTCCTCAAACGTCATGGTACCGTGGCAAGAACGAAGAAACACAAGAAAATAAAGAAAATTCGCCACAAAGAGCCTGCCGCGGATCGTGATCGTGTCGGGACATCAACGCCGGCCCCGAAGGAAAACTCCATCGAGGAAGGTGGTGTCAAAATCGAAATCGAAGAAGATCATAAACGACCAGAACGGCACCGAATATTTGTGCATAGCACAACGAGTACTAAGAGACCCCAGATGCATATCGCGTCTGGGAACGGAGTGTATCATGTCATCGGTTCCAAAGACGTTTGGACAACAAGGTGGGTCCGACTGTTTGCAACCTCCGAATTTTTCGATGCACACCGACATCTTCCGAATGCGGAAACCTAATATATCCTCTCTCGATCAAGGTATCCTGAAATTCCGAAATACGTGACCATTGTGACAACCACCCGAAAACCTGCGAAGCAGTCAGCTACGCGCCGGATGGATGAAGCCGCTCCTACCGTGCACTACGAGTCGAACGAGAACGACGACACATTCCAGGTAGATGATACGGATAATGTTTCATCCGAGGGTCAGGAGGCGCCTGATCAGAAAAAAAGCGAAAGTGGCGAAGGCTCGAAGTCTGAAGCTGTCTCTGCGATGCGCATGATTCTTGCAGGAAACGAGACCGGCAACGAAACGGAGGCATCCGCAGAACCTCAATGACGCCGAATTAGAAATGATAGAAAGCCACGTCCAAGAAACGGAGATTCCGTTCGAAGGAAGCCAAGCAATAAAACAGGTAGTCAGAACGATAAGTTTTCGTGAATCTTCGACGGCTTCGTTTCTCGAATTCATTACCGGATCAGAATAAGATCATAAACGACCGGAACCGCACCGAATATCTGTGCATAGCACAACGAGTATCCGCAGATTCCCCGTCGCGTCTCACCTATCTATAGACCATATAGGTACACTGTAATATAGGAGTAGCCCCGCGTGGAATAGGCCTATCGAATGTCGCTCTCGACTCGGACTGTTTGATGAGCGCGCATCGAAGCATCAAGTGTTGTCCAAGGCGAAACGGGGTTTGTGTGCTAGCAGCGTGTAGCATCGCCTACACGGGATCCGGTTTCTAGCCGCAATGGCTTTACCGTTCGCTTCCGTTCAGAAAGAACACGCGTCCCCACGCTGTTTCACCACGATTCCGTTCCGAAGTTAGCACACATCCAGTCGTTTTCTTCAAATATCCGTGCCGAAATTTCGAAAGCTTGCAACTTTTTCTCCAGCTCAAGCGAGCAGGGCTCCCCAATTCTCTCGAATTCTTGAGCGTGAATAGGATCCTCTATTCAGCTTCTAGGGGATTTGAAGTCCGGTGTCGGATGTCGCCAGTCCTGAAATAAGTATCTGATTGTTCGAACGAATTTCATCTCGTCACAAGGTAAACGAGACTCAATCAGCGAACGCTATTGATACCGTGGCTGAAGCACCGCCGTGTCCAGGCAACTGCGTCCTGCCGATATTCAGCTTCTTCTGCGATGCCCAACACAAGACCTCGTACGTCTGTCCCGTCGGACGGGTCTGCTGCGTTGGTACTCCTTCTGTGGAAGAGCAGAAGAATAGCACCCGGACCGAAGAAGAGAGCAACACAAATACCAACGCACTTCTCGAAGATGATCGGCACGACCATATCTGCGCGGGACGGTCAGTAGGATTTTCCCCTAGCGCGCTTTATGAGGCAACTTGCGTTGAGGAATGGACTTCTGATATTTTTCTTGTGTTGCAGATGCGTGCCCGTCTTCTTCCAGTACACTTGCAAGCATCCCTTGCGCATTACCGATGACATCTGTCCGACCGGCAGTCTCTGCTGCACAGGTATCGGCAAGAAAGACGACGGCGAAGAGGAGCGAGAAGACGAGGAGTCCCAAACGGACCCGGAGACCCAAGACGACGACGAGGGCAAAAAAACAACCCAGGCCCAAGCCCAGAGTCAGAAGGACGCCGCCGAAGTCGCGAAGAATAAGTTGAATTTCTTGCACAGTATCTTGACCACTGTCCTGAGCACCAAGAAACCGAATATCCAAAGTGCGCAAAATTCCGCAAAACTCAAGCAGCGTCCCGAGGAGTACATGCAAGCCGACGAAGATCAGCTGCGACCTACCTACGTACAGGAACCAAAATACTTCGCAGCGAGCGAGCAACTCGCCTCCGAGGAGTCAACGGACCCTCCCGAAGTCGTGATCGAGCCCGCGATTCCTCCCTCGATGCCGACGGTGGACACGAGATTCTCTCAGCTCGAACGGCCACCGATGGTCACTCCGCCGTATTCTCACCGTAGGCCAATGCATAACGTTCATGGCATGCCACCGGCGATGCGGCATCGGAACAATCATAATTCACACAATAGGATTCCCTCCGGTGCCGTGGACGAAGAAATGCTCGAACGGCATTATCCGATCCGGAGTCGGTTCCAGCGACCGCATCCCTACGGAAATTTACCCCACAGATTCCGAACAATGCCCACGCGGCGACCGTACGACGATTCCGAGGAGATGATGCCCACTGAGGAGCATGCCAATGAGGGTGCCCCAGAGACTACGGAAGAGACCCCGATCGAGGACGAACGAGAGAATTTCAGTGAGCTCAGACCGGACATGAATCGACACAGCCACAAGGACCAGCATCGCGAAGTCGTCACGCCGGAAACGGAGAACCACGAAGTGTATTCCCAAGCGAATTCACAGGAGCAAGACGCCACCGAAGTCCAAAACTTCACGAGCCCCTTCCTCACCGAGTGGGCTCCGAGCGATGTGAATGCAGCTCGGGTGAAGGAGGTCAACTCTGCGAACTTGACCCTCGAGGAACGACCTTCCGAAGATTCTCGGGGGGTGCATCCGAGCTCCTGTGGCTTGAACGGATTCCACATAAAACGGTGGCACAGTAGAAACGAGGCGAATCCGGGCGAATGGTGTTGGCAGGCCGCGATCGTGGACAGTGACGATAATCTGTTATGTAGCGGAGCTGTCATCGGAGCGCAGTGGATCGCGACTTCGGCGTCCTGCGTCGCGAACTACACCGCGTCGAGCCCGCCGGATCTCCGAGCCAAGATCGGTTACGTCGACATGGCGTCGGGTCCCGTCGGGTCCCAGACTAAAACGGTCTCAATGGTCTACAGTCACCACAGCTTCAACGCACAAACACGGGAGAACGACATTGCACTTCTTAAGCTTCACGACTTTATCGACCTCAACGGCCTCGTGTGCGTGATCTGCTTGCCTTCAACCCTTCGGCCGGAGGGCGCGATGGAAGGCTGCACGCTGACAGCCTACCGGAAGGAATCCCCCACAAAATTCAAACTGACCTACGACCGCGTGAATAGAGTCGACCTGCAGGTTTGCGGTGACTTGGCGTCGCTGAAGAACTCGACAGCTGAGGCCTCGGCCGGTCAGCGAACTAAGTTCTGCGCGGGCGAAATGGATCTCGCGGAGCGAACGGGCGCGTGCGAGCCATCGAGTCTGGACGCCGAACGGAAGCCCATCCTTGGACTCGGCAATCCGCTGGTCTGTCGCGTGGACAACTTCTACCAGCTCAGCGGAATATCAAGCACCTATCTGGGCTGTGAGCAGCTCGCGACACCGACTTACTATACGAATCTCGCCTATTTCACCGGTTGGATAAATCAAATCACTAATGTTAATCGATACTCGTGATGTGCAGGTCGCATCCACTCTCGGAGCTTTTCTATGGCTGCGCACGAATTCATGAGTACCACGACCCAGAAATCACATTCCGTCGTTGGGAATCTAAATATTTAATATATTTCATGGTGCTTTGTACATATGAGCCGCAGGTCCGCGCCAGCCCAGATTGGCGTCAGACAGAAAGGTAATAGTATAAGCGTGGGCGTCTGAGAGTCGAACCCTCGACGAAAAAAAAAACAGGCGAACCGAACCCCACGAACATCGAAATTCGATTTCGAGATTTGGGAACAAGCGCTGAGGAGAATAAAATTGTAATTCTGTTCTGAGTATTCCTGGAATCGCACGAATGTTCTCTCCACTGCCGAGTAGCTGGTCGATTCTATCCGATCCTCGCCTCCTATTCGCTAAGCTATCAGCCAATTCGAGCAGAGGATCGAGGAAATTATTGAGGGAGGATACCCAGCGTATGACGAAACAATATGATCCGTGGAGCTTGATTGCATGACGTGAACAAGGATGACCAGGTCGCCACCACCGTCTCTCCCCATCAATAATTTATTACTGAGTGAGAACAAACTAATAATGGTACGAAGCCAAGTTGAGATCCTGTTCTCTGACGAGCGTTGCACAGTCCACGAGCGGGTTGTTCGGTCCGGGCACGAGCAGGACATTTTTCTGAATCCGTAAGACGTCCGTAGTCGCGCAGATCAAACCAGCCAGCGTGACCCGTTGGAGACGGCTCAGTTGTTGAGGCGTGAAAGCAGTCGGAACTTTAGGGTTTTCAAACCAGAAGCGATCGCCGTATTTCAAGCGGTGGAACTGGTGTCCGAACAAGCAGGTGATAGTGGGTCCGAACGTGGAGCCCGGCGCCAGTGGCTCGAGGATGGCTCCGACGCCGAAGTCTACGTTGTCGATATCGTTACGGTAGGCGATCTTGAGTTTGTCGATCAGCGGACCGTACTGCTTCGAAGAAGCTCTCTTCATCTCTTCAAACGATCCGAAGGGTTTCAGTCCGCACGACCTCCTCCACTCGTTGTACGGTCGGATACCGTGGTCTCGAGCTCGGTGGTAATCGATCGCCCGCAGATCCTTGCCGGGTTTGTAGGGTGTCGAGAAAAGGTAGCGGGTGATTTGCAGCGAGTACACCGTGTTCAGATCTTGCATTTTCTGCTGGCACGCACCAACCAGCAACGCTCGGATTGGGTCTGTATCGGGTTTGCAGAACGTGTCCATGTTGTTGATATCGTACGCAAGAGTCGGACACTTGAGCAAGCTGAGTCCTTCCCGCTTCAACTTGTCGGCGATGTTCGAGTGGGAGACACGGCAGGCGGCGGTCGCCCACGCGTTCAGAAGCGACGGGTTCAAGGACGGTCGATACACGTACCTCGGTGTGGGCACGCTCAACTCGAAACGTCTCATGGCAAGTGGGCCGAGCAGAAGCGGAAGATATTCCTTGTAGACGACCACTTGGAGCATGCCACCGATGATTTTCCGGGACACGTTGAATGTTTGCCATTTGTCCCAACCCCGCGCGATGAAAGCTTTCGCGATAATGTTGTGTTGTCGGAGGAACATCGTCTGGAGGGCTCCGAGAATCGGGGTCAGAGACGCTCGAACGTCTCCAGCCTTAAAGCAGCGCTGGTCGCAGCCGGGATAGAAACTCGAGCAGGACCCATCCTCGTCGCTGCGGGGCATTAGACCTCCCTTGATGTACTTGGAGTTCTTGTCGATCAACATCGTTCCGTCGTCGTCGATCAACGGTTCGGCTTTGAACTTGGACGATCCGTAGATGAGGGACCCGTCGATGAAAGCCGTCACCGCATTAACCTGCTCGCGCACATCTTTCGGAACGGCGTTGTTCTTGGGGCAGGCCGTCTCGGAGGAATTGTAGAACTTCGAGCGGACCAGCTCGATGCAATGGCCTTTTTCGTAGAAGACGTCGTTGTCCGGAACGAGAATTTCGTTGCATTCGGTGTCTTTGTCGGTGGTGTAACAGCAGGGTGGAGTGACTTGGACGAGTTTCCCATTCTGCACGACCTTGTCCGAGTATGGAGCGGCGGACGAGACCTCATGCGCGACGAACTGTCCGAAGTGAGTATTCAGGTCCGTGAAGTACTTCGAGGCGGTTTTCTCCGACTGGATTTGATTGCCTTGCATCAGCGTCGACAACAAACGTACGTTCGGGAGTCTGTTGCCGTGTCTTCCTTTCCTGGGTGTGTCGAGACCGTCCCCGAACTCGGGACTCAGCATACGGCCGTAGGTTTCGTCGGATCGACCCCAACAACCGTGGTACAGGTTGTTGCAGCTGCCATCGAAGCTCCGGTACGGCCCCGAATACCGGCAGTCGAGCGGTTGCAGGTGGAAAATTGTTTCGTCATCCATGCCAGCGGTGGCTTTCGCGAAATCACGATCAGCTAACTTCTGCTGGTAACGCTCCAACGAAGTTGTCGTCGATGACAGTTTGAAACCGGTCAGACGGGAAGGCGAAACCCACAGCTTCCAATTCCGGTCCATTCCACTCCGATCATCGGCACTAAAGTCCGGTGTGTCTTCTTCGAGTTTATCCAAGTCAGGATCATCGCCGGTAGCCGTTTCGATATCGGTGTGCGGATCCGAATCCACTACGTTAAGCACAACGAAGAGAACCACGAGAAGCGGAAGCGCCCACGGAACCAAACCACACGGTTTCATGGTACGAGCAGCACTCAACGCCACAGCTCTACTAATTCCTGCTGCTGATCGCCTGTATTCCTCGCTATCGTCCGTCGGTGGGTTCGTCGTCGGCCGCTCCGTTTTTCGGTCGATCTACCGTTGTATTGCATTCCGCTGAGAGTGCTACGCAAGTGAGATATCGAGCCGAGTAGCTGTTCGAAGAAGAAAAAGAGAAAAACCTACGGTTCGCCCTCTCTCAAGCAGTTCGTCATGGTAAGGCCGGCGCGACGAAGAATGACCAAAATGAACTTACTCACCGGAGAATCAATCGCGCTCGAACATATTCCCGTGTCGAGACAGGCGACAGATCCGAGGCTCCCAGCGGTTCCCGCGGAGTTGTCATTCATATCCCTAATAATTCATATCTCCGCTCGGAGCCTATTCTCGACGGTAGGCCTCCTATACGAATCCGGAGCTGAGCGGTCCAGCGATAGAGATTTTTTTCCAAGATCTACGCCGAAACGGAGGAGCAGGCCTTCTCCCTGATATCAGAATCGGTGAGGTTAATTAAGTTGATGGGTCATAAGTCGTGACTCGTGCATTCTCTGACGCGTGGCTCGGTATTCAGGACGACTCAATGAAGCGTCTAGAAGAGTTTTCCGCGATGCGGCTCCATGATCCGCGAAATCCACTCAATTATACTCGACAGCTTGTTAGTGGAGGGTCCGCTCTCCCAACCACCGTTAGTCTGCTCGGGAGCTTCTGATGAAAGAGCGAGATTCCCTAGTGGGAGGAGAATGATTTCACCGACCCCGGCGCGATTCTGGGAGGTGCAGGGAATGCGAAAGAACTATGTAGACGAATATCTTTGAGGTCTTTCAGTTCACCACAAATGAGTATACAAGGTGGCTGAGACGATTCCGGATCTGGGGCCTTCGGGATCCCTCATCGAGTGGTAAACCACTCCGAACAGCATGCGCTTTCTCAGAAGACAAACCTCGGAATTGAAATTACCCATTTTATTCATCACACTCCGGGACAATGATCCTTCATCAGCTGCAAATAGTCTGTCCATGGGTCAGAAAAGATTCAGAAACTAGATGCACGAACGCCGGGACTCCGAAAATACCCTCATGCGCATGCTCGACGGAACGAAATCTCGCTCGTGGAGCTATCTCGATTCATGATTTATTTTCTCATCTCCTAATCATCCATCTCCCCCCTGACGTGAGCCGAGGCACAGCGCTTGACCCATGTCTACCGTATCGGATACGTTCAACGACCTCTTCGAAGTTCTTCCCCCGCTCTCTCTCGTTCGCGTGCAAGTGTTCGATCTACTAACAAGTCTACCGATCTGAAAGCGTAGATCAGCCTCATGTGCGTTCATTCCGTCTCTCCTAAGACCCCACGAGCGAGTAAGTGTTTTTCTTCTTGTCGATTCGAAGCGCACTTTCGATACAACTCTCAGACTGCCACTTTAAAGTAGACATGCAGCACCTCATCTGAGATTTGACGGCCGTCTGCTCAACTCGATCTGCCTTCTCCTCGACCGTCGTGAGCCTCTATAGATCCTCCGAAACCCCAAGTGTTTCCTCGTCGCAATGAAACCTTATCCGTGAAGCTCAGAAGGAAAGGATGATCAGGTGTCGCAAATCAACACGTGTGATCGATATTCGGGAGACCCCATTCCTACAAGACGCAGAGGGAGAGATTTTTCTTTTCGTTCCGGCTCACTTTTTACTCGGGATGTTTTCTTTTGGTGAGAAGAGGAATCACTTGATTGTCCGTCGAGCATCCAGCAAGTCGCTGGAGACGAAACTGTCTAATAAAAATAGGTCCAATAAAAATATCAGCTTTCCAATAGCGGAAATCGAGGGCACAAAACCACGCTCGGTCCTCATCGATAACTGATTGACGCGAATCACCATGGGAACGTATACAGTTCCTCCCCTCGATCGAGTCGGACGCCCCATACGCTCCCCTCCGACGTCTCCATGATATACTCCGAGAATCGCTCTTCACTGATGCTCATAGTGCTCACGGGGGAGACTCGGTCATGAGTCGTTGGCTTAGCAGCAGATCATCATATAATAGTCTCCGAGTGAAGCGTGAGCATAACGACGGGGTTCAATCGATTGGACGTTTTTCCGCGTGCCGCTTCGTGAAGTCTTCGGCGTTCTTCATGAATCGCTTTCGGTCACGCAAATATTCCTCCGCCAAATCATTCCGCAAAGGATGATCCGGCTCTGGCTCATTCACGAGCGTGACGAGGGCGTGGATCACCTGGGAAGAGTTCATTGTGGTTGGCGTTGATCGAAATCAAGTCGAAAAGAATCAGATCTGTGGACGCCTTTCTTCCACACGCGGTAATTAGCACATACCTGCTCTGTTCGCGTCGCTGGTTTCCAATTATCAGGGAGGATCATGCTCAGACAGACTCGTCCCTGTTCATCGACATTCGGATGATAGATCTTCGTACGGAAGAGGATCTTCGGGGGCTTGAAGGGATATTCCGGGGGGAAAGATATTTCTACGCGGAATGCACCTGAGGGAATATTGCGATGATGAGTACAGTAGTTGCTCTCCGGGATGAACCGGCAGAATCGTTGCCCCTTGTCCCCATGTGGATGTCCGAATCGTAGGCTGCCAAATTCAGCCTGAGAGAGGCGAAGAATAAGAAATCGCACCAGGGCGGCTCGACTTGACACCATGGCCTGCTTTGGTGACGAGCCGGAATCTCAATCGTAGACTCATGAAGCCCCGAGCTGTCATTACATCGCGGCGCGAGCTTCCATCGTGACGAGTACTCCTGCCGCACTCTCATTGCCTATTTTCGGGCATTTTTGGGCATCCAACCCAATTAATCCAGCCGTGATTCCCGGTTCAAACGCCGCAGACCTCCGCTCGATCACGAACGATTTGACAGAGACGGGGAAAAGGTTTCAAGGCCTGGGGATCAGGGACTGCAGGAGACTCGGCATATCGGTCACCGATCCTTTGTCGTTAGCGGGCTAGTACATGGAGACGGCCTACGGCACGTGTCGTGACGGACCGGGTACGATTCGTCATGACAATCGATGGAACACGCGACCTTCGCTCGAGCGATTGCGGGATCGATAGACCCGGGCAAGGCTACATTTCGCCCTCACTGTAGTTCGCAACCTCCCGGGCTCCTCCGTCGAATTCACCAGACTTGGAAAAGATCGGAGCCAAGCTCATGGGCCGAGTTTGCTCGGTTGACGAGCTCTCCGCCCCGGCATAGATCTTCAACCAATCCCCCGCATGTGGTTGCGGCTCCGATAAATCAGAAAATCGGTACGACGAGCCTCTATTAGAGCCACTTGCCTTTGTTGTACGGGGGATTCTCAGGAACGATGAGCCCTTGCCACAGAAGAATGTTCGACTCGTCAACTTGGATGTCTCGGAACACTTTCATGGGAGACTGTTGGAGATCTGTCAATTCCTGGAAGAGCAGAGGCTTGTTTAGGAATTTATCCGCGCTCGAATGAGGGAGTTTGTGTGTGTACCAGGAGCCACATCAATTCGCAAGCGAAATCGAGAGATTCGCGCGCATGAGCCTCATGGAAATTCTGATCGTGATGTCGCCGCAGAGAGAGATGCCCCGCAGTATTGGGACGAACATCAACGAACGCTCGGATCTATTCGATAGAATTCTCAAATATTCTAGCAAGCAGGAACGGTTTCCGTCCTGAGAGGTTCTATCCTGATATGGAGCCTGCGGCCCGTCGAGAGGGACAACGGGACACAACGGGCTTGAGAATATCGACCCTTGATGAATCAACACCATTACAGATATATTCGTGAGCTTCTCGGAAGCGCTGCATGGCGAATCCCTCGGCGAGTCTTTCGACTGAATAAAAGCCTTTCCGTGAGACAGGAGTCCCCGAAGTGATTTACGTAATGTTCCGAAATGAGGTGCCGTGACTCGCTGAAGACCCGATTTTAGAACGACGCGAACACGTTTCCGCTCCCCAACCGGCAGTAAATACTCGAGACAAACTCTGCCGCTAGCTCCTCGTAGTTGGACGTCGACGTCAATCAGATTAGAGAGGAAAACACCAAGTTCGACTGACTCGTTTTTTTGCTAGCAAGCTGATCACTTCGAAGATGAGTTTCATAACTGTAGTTCAGAGAAATTACACGAAAGATTTGGAACGGAGATTTGGCTCCCACAAGTTTCCGCCTTCTTCTTAACATTCCGTCCCGTCACCTTTTGACGTTATTAGCCTCTGAGAGACTGAGACTAGCACAGTGCGGCAACTCGGGAAGGTGAGAGGAAAGCTCGTTCCATCCATGAAGCAACCAAGGGTCTCGGGGAAAAGAGAAACTCCGCACTCAGGAACGCGAACCATTCCTTGTACTTAGTGAGGTAATTCACAGATTGAGGTACGAACTTTTTGCAATCGGCGCGTGCCCTGCATGGTTGCTGCGATATGAGTATCGTTGATTCTTTTCTAGAGCCGCAGCTCAAGTTTTTCCGGAGTTTTCCAACGACAAAACGTCGAATGGGCTCGATTTTCACTGCCTCTAACGGCCCGCCAATACGGTGTCGACAGTAGAACGATGTGAGAGGCTGGGCACGTTCTCACGTTGCACAATCCGAGTGCAATGTCGTTTGCGCTGAGCCGTGTGTGTCTCGTAGGTAGGACCCCCTGTGATGCTGCACCAAAGACTTCCCACACACCAACAACACGAGCTAGCCCGCAGTTGCACTAAAGCTCGGATTAGGTTTGAACGCTTGAACGACCGTTCGCCGCACTTCCCCAATGCCTGGGCTTATGCCCAATAAAAAGTTCGATCGCACGTTCGTCACCCAATCGGGCAGCACGTTGGAAACGAACGCAGGGTAAAACTCCGCAAAAATGGAATCTGTTGACGGGAGAGTGAAGGCGATGATGTTGCTGATCTTCGCTGGAAGTTAGCGCGGAGCCGGGCGGTCCTCTGCATCGGCTCCTGACCCCACACATGCAATTTCTCGGCGCGGACCGATGACGGCACGGCGTTCATGGCATCGCGGCAGGGAATGTGTCAGTATGCCTTACGAGGGACTGAGGGGGGCGTACGGCCGAATTGACGAACGAAGTGATAAATCATCTCACGTCTCTGGATTCAAGGGGAGTTGACCCATAATTAGATTTCTGACGGCTTCGTCGACGACCAATGGAATCATGATGGCGATGACGAGAATCCCTGCCAAGAAGATGCGAATTTTCGGTTCTACCGCAGTTCCTCCAAAGGAAGGTCGCCGTGTGGCCTCGACACAGCTCAGGTCGTCCCGAGCAGAAATCACCGTCATGAACAGTACGTCATTCATCCCGTGCTGATCTTGAACTTCCTGCTGCATCTAATCACAGCGATCTCCGTGCCTCGGCGTTATATTTTGGGAAAATAGTCTCGTGGAGTCTCTTGTTGCTGTGACTTCGATGGTGTATCTGGTATAGCTCGCAACATCGCCACCGCTCTGTACGGAGGACTGTGGTTTGACCACTTCGGCGGTCACATTGGCGAGTGGCGCTCATGGCTCGGCGCGCTCCGCGAAACTCCGGGGATGGCCTATCTGAATTTCATGAATCCTTTCCGAAAACCAACGCCGAGGATACTCCGAGTAAGAAACCTGAACGTTAAGGGGGTCCCATCCGCGGAGCCCACCAGAATTCTCGGGTCCTATCCACAGAGTCTTCACGGGAACCTATATGCCGAGAATGCTCGGATAAGCAACCTGAACTTTCGGAATCAAACCCAAAGAGCTTTTACATTAGGCTATAGCGAGGGCAGTCGGGACAAGGGGAGGAACCGGACAATTCTCGGGGATTCGTCAATAGAGCCCGCTCAGAGACCGAGAATTGTTGGGGTGAGAGAGCCGGTGGTTGTCGGAGCCCTATAGGCAGAGCTTCAACACGAATCTATCCAGAGGAGAGTCCGGATAAGAGTCCGGAAAATTGTTGGGGTTCCATCCCAAAGACTCATAGCTCATAGCCGATACAAATAGCCGAGAATCTTTGGCATACGGAAATTCTCTGACTGGGAGAGTGAGTTCTAAGAATAGAGCACGAGCCCAGAAGACAATTTACGAGGAATGTGAGTTTCTTCCATGAGCTGAGAGACAAACGCGTCGACTCTGTGCCCACGGAACGCTCGATTTTGCAAGATGCGAATTTCGCGGAGCGCTCATGGTCGCCGTTAGCTTACCCGGCTCCTGCCAGCATAGAAGCTTCACTGTCCCCGAACCAGAGCTGTACGCTGCGATGGCCATGAGTATTGACGTTTTCACACTGAACAGGACGACCGATGACACTCTCGCTCTCTCTCACCCGGTGGAGTCGCGTTCGCTCGAGAAAAATATGGCAGATACATTGCAGCATGCTCTCACAGTATATCTCGCCGACTAATTCTTTCTGGGATGCAGCCCGAATTTTGCTCATTCTAAGCGCCGAACCGGGTCCTTAGCCTGACTGTGCTGTTCTTCCTGCTGCTTAAGAGAGCCTGTCAGGGCGTACGAGACTACCACGACACGCTACGGTTTCTCATCATGAACATTCATCGCGTGAATGGCTCCGGCAGGAAGCGCGCGCCCTCCGTTCAAATTATCTCTTCGCATTTCCTCTTAGGATAGGCTCGAATTCACCATCCTTCGGGATCGTACAGCAATAGCATCTATGGGAGCAATGGTGCTGCGAGTCGAGGGAGAGAGTTATGAGACCCGCTCGAGTCGCGAGATCTTGCGAATTTCCGTCGGGTTTTTCTTTTCCCATGTAGCACCATGCGAACGGATATCGGCGTCCTGGCAAAAATACTCCATGCTCTTCATCACAGAGCGATTTCGAGCTGGAATTCTGCTTCGGTATCGGATGTTTAGAGTGTTCAAGACAGATTCGAGCCGCACAGCGGGCCACTCTCATCCTCTCTCCTCATAGACAAACACACTCTCTCACAGAAGACCCTCTATCAGAATCAGAAGCAGCCGCAGCAGCAACAGCAGCAGCAGGGTCGTTGTCGTCGTCGACCACACACTGAAACGTTGAGAGACTAGGCACTCGGGACGCGTGTTTGAGAAGCTGATTTCGAGTTTTTCTTGTTCGACCTCACTCAGAGCGGTCAATCGAACATCCTCGACTGCTGTTATCTACGCTTTCTCGTTCCGTAGACAGAAATCTTCCACCGAGTTCGCATGTCGGGCATCGAGAACCTCAAATCATTTGATCCGTTTGCGGACGCCATCCGAGGCGATGATAAGGGCGTGCAGGACGGCTTGATTCACATTCGTATTCAGCAACGTAACGGTCGCAAGACCCTCACAACCGTGCAGGTAGGTTAAGCCTTCTAGATGTCGTGGCGAACGCAGTGAAAATAGTCGCGACTTGCTAATTTTTCGATGTTCCTCTGTGATCGGATATCTAAATCCCCATGAGCGTAAATTGCGCCACAGCGGCCGTAACGGATCGAGTCCTACTGTCCAGATTCCGGCTCGTTTCTCGAGAGGAATCGTTCCGGACATGTCGGTACGTTTCTGATGAAGCGAAGGCGAACCCGCGACGCCGTACGCTCGAGTGGTTGCGGTGTTGCAGGCAGTCAGCGTTGCCACCACGAGAGATTTCGCTGTGAACGTCTCGGTATCATGCCGTCCCAAATTCTGTCTTGGGATCTGGCTTAGGATTCACGCTCGTCTTTGTTCGGTGCTCAATGAAATCGTAGGAGTCTCTCGGCTGCCCGCGCTGGAGTGCCTCTTTCGCGACCGGGGCAGAATGAACCGTGGTTGCTTTTTGTATCTCTCACAGAACTCGATATTCGAGAAAAGCTGACTGACATTTCCGCCGAACTCCGTAAAATGACTCCCCATCGGCGTTGAGATTGTCGCTTGACAGAGCGGAGAGCGGCAATTCCATATTGAGTCGTTGGGCACCGGACACCGCGGTCGAGTCCTTTGCATCCAGAAGTGAATACGGTGCTAGTGTGAGCCGTTCTCGGACGAGCGTCGGAACCTATTGCGGCCGGCTCGTCCAGATGATTCTGGGGACCTTCCTTACCCCCGTGTCGGATCGGAAGGATCGCTGAGACGTCTGCCGATCCTATCCGAGACGAGTTTCTCGATCCCCTCCACCCTGTAGACATTGTTGTTGACGCCGGATGCATTCTATTTCCAGGGAATTTCGGATGATTTCGACAAGAAGAAGATAGTCCGGGCATGCAAGAAGGATTTCGCCTGTAACGGCACCGTCGTCGAGCATCCCGAGTACGGAGAGGTCATCCAACTCCAGGGCGACCAGCGAAACAATATTTGTCAATTTCTCACCAAGGTCAACATCGCTAAGCCTGAACAGCTGAAAGTTCATGGATTCTAAATCAGCGATGAGAACGACGAGGGCGGCGAGCCGGCGTTGGGAGCCCTGCGGGCGATGGGTTGTACAGCAGTTCGCACTCGTGACTTGTAACTTGATTTTCCTCTAACGAATTCGGCCAAACTCTAGTTTTGATAATAGAATTTCTTATGGCTATCACACATGCATGTGGCTCGGTATCAGATGCGAGCGTTACACGACCGAAGAAAGAACACAGCATGACGTAGCGGAAGAGCTCCGTACTCAAGGATGGCAATTGGATGCTGTAGGAGAAAATAGCTAGCCAAGCTCTAGCCGGTGAGCATTGTTCAATCGATATGAGCGGAGCTGTGTCTAATATCGGGCAAATTGTCATCCGGAAACATCAATAAAAAACTCTTGATCCCTCCTTCGTCGCCGAGGTAGGGGAGACTGATTTTTCTACTAACATTGTTGTATTCCTTCGCTTTCGGGTTTGAATAATAATACTCCCCAGGCCCAATACGGATGCCCAAGGAAACGACTTCGAAAAATCATGGGCAAACGGGAAGAGCCCCCTCCACATCAGGGCGACGGAACTTTCCCCACCGGGAAGAAGAGTGGACGAAATCACTCAGGGCTATGGGGACTTGGTTCTCGCGCGGAGGTCGGGTGATACGTAGACGTCAATGGTAAGAGTCAGAAGATTTGAGGAGTAGGACAGAGTTCGAGTCGAACCTCTGCTGAGCTTCCGCGTGAGAATCGAGGGGGAAGAGGATCTCACGGAGAGTGGCTGCTCCTGGAGAAGTCGCGAGTTCATCGTGAGCCGCATGAGAGACGGCGTCGATGTGAGGTGAGGCAAATCCTGGGATCGGTTTTGTTCCTTCGTAACATGGACAGATGGAGTCTATCCCGAAGAAAATAATTTCAAAAATTGAAACGATCGAAACTTGAATGCTTTGTTTATTAATAATAATTTTATTATAATAATTCAACCCTTGAAACTATTTCTCTTTGCCGGTGGGGATATCCTCTTGATCACTGAAATATTCCCCAGGGTCCTTTCCGTCGTGCTCGTTCTGTGTCTGTGCGATTTGGGTGACGGGCCTATTCAACCTCTGGTAAATACCCATTGCTTGAGCGACCATCGAGGACATGTCGCCTGGAACGTCTCATTCGGTTCAGCAACGAGAATCCCGAGTGATTCGAGAGGGAATAAGGGACGGAGAACGACATATATGCGGCACGTGACTCGACTGAGGACATTGATGAGCTCACCGGAGTTGGATGGAAGCATGATGGTGTTCGATTCTTTCGCCAGTTTGGAGAAAGCCGCGACGTACTGTTCGGCTACCGATAGACTAGCGGCGGATGAGCCTCGCTGGTCGAGAGATCGTGCGACGACGTTGAGTGCTTCAGCTTTGGCGACGGCCTAGGGACGATGTCAAGAAATTCTGAGCATCTGGCTCGAAAGATCGTGCACATCGGACATGAACGGGAGAAAGACGTTCCTCCAGACCGCGGAAGCTACCTTTTTCTGGATGGCTTCGGCTTCTCCGACAGCCAAGTTGATTAGCTCGATCTTTTCGGCTTCGGAGGCCAGAACTCTGGCTCGCTTCTTACCCTCGGCGACGTTGATATCAGCTTCACGCACGCCCTGATCCGGGGAAATTCTCAGTTATGCAATTTATTGATTGAGGTTAATTCGCTGAGCTCCGGTATCGATTAGAGATCCGCACACAGCATCACATTGAACTCGCCTCCGACTCGAGTATAGCCGCGCGTTTTTTGCGCTCAGCCTCCACCTGCATCTGCATGGCTTCCATCACACGGGTCGGTAACCTGCGAAGAGCGCGGATCAAGATTTTCTCTTTAGACCGGCTGAGATTGGGATAATATGGAAGAATTTGAGGGTTCTGATGGAGGGGACCAGATCAGAATCGTACTTGATGTCTCGGATCTCGTATCGGAGACAGACGATGCCCCACGCATTTGAGGCTTTGTTGATAGCTTCCACTATTGCGATATTCAGCGATTCTCTCTCCTTGAAAACAGAATCCAGGGCTATTTTCCCCAGTTCGGAACGCATCGTGGTTTGGGCGAGTTGAGTCACAGCGAACTCGGGATCCTCAACTCCGTAGCTGGCCTTGTATGGGTCTTGGACCTAGAAGAAGAGAAAACGATGAAAGTCAAAAGATCCTCCCGAATTCTCATCGGAGGAGCGATGAACAGTCTTCAGACAGCCATAAGAACGTCTGTGACTGTTCTCGCAAATCGGCTTAAACTTTCGGCCGCAGCAACTTTTCATGAGCTCACCTTTAGGTAGAGTACTCCATCGATATTCAGAGTTACATTGTCCGAAGTGATAGCGCTTTGCTGAGGGATGTCTATAGCTAATTCTTTGAGGCTCTGAACGTATTTAACCCTATCGACTATAGGAATCAGAATGTTCAAGCCCGGTTCAAGTACGCGGAAGAATTTGCCCATACGTTCGACGATCCAAGCTTCCTGGAAAACGAGCTCATTAGAGTTGTGTTTGTCTTCTCGATGATTCTCCCGCATCGGAATCGAAGGGTCAACAGTATCTAGCTCGAATCATTCCGAAGCCACACTCCTCGAGGGCTCGGAGCTCTGCGCGGGATCCGGGAGCCCGGAGCCGCCGTCGTCATCCCTTGCGACACTCCAGCCAGACACCGACTTTTCGATCCTTAGAGCATATCTCCGGCGAATTCCTATGATTGCCTGGACTGACAGAATTTCAAACTCACTTGTTGCGGGACGAAGAGCAAAACTGTATTCATCGGCAGTCCCTCGGATGCATAAGCCCGTGTCTGAACTTTATGCATCAGCGCAGCATTGACTCGGGCGTTACCCGGAGTCTGCCGGAGGATCGAAGGTCCCGCAGAAAGGATGGCACGCCTGAGCATCATTTTCAATTCGGTGTCTATCCAATCGGATTCGCAGAGTGGCTCCTGGAAACCCCAATTCAACGCGCGCGATGAGCCGGTGGCCGACCGGTGCACAGACGGGTCTCGAGGCTCGGCCTTTCGAGGATGAGACCTCTTTCCGGAGTCTAGTCGGTGCGACTTTCACTCGAGCCGCGATTTTCTCGTTCAGGAGACGAGCAATACGCGTCACTCGAAAAGTTTCAAACACGCCGTGTGTTTCCGGAGCGGCAGCAATGTATTCTGTTGATCACTGGGTCGAGAAGGAGAAACTTCTCCTGCCGACCAGACCAAGAGGCGCCACAATTCGAAATTTTGTGCTGCCCGCTGCGAGGTGGGTGACTCCCTCCGGCAAAGGGGCGGAGGAGGATTCTCAAGTTCAATGATTCGATGGACATGAGCAATGTCAATCTTCGTCTTGAGATTGTCAGCTCTTGGAGCCCGGAAGAGCCGAACCCACTCGGACGCCGCCGTTCTCCGCTGCGCTCTGATTGCATTCGAACTCCATCCATCCAAGATCGGTCTCTGCAAAAAGATCTGACAATAGATCGACTAGTTGGTCGATGTCGATGCCCGGAGAAATCGACTGACTCGTCGATTCTCGGAGACCTCTTCCTCTCGTCTCGTAACGAAAATTTCTCCGGTAGAATGGTCGCAATTGCGACGTGCGAACTCATCCTTCGACATTCTAGTCGACAACTTGAAGCCGTCCGCGAAGCCGACTCTCCCCTGCATCCGAGTAGTCTCCGGACGAGCATTCGTATTCTTATCGACTGCAAACGACGAAAATGAGTACGTGGCGCGAGTCCATCGATAAGTAGTCAGGAAAGCACTGAGCGGAGTATAAGTGGTGCTTCTCCTCCGATGCTGATACGCACCGGCCAAACGACTCCCACCGCTATGGCTTGGTGAGTGTTCGTTGACGTGAGGGAAAGTATTCAGCTCTTTATGCTCAGAGAGCCCGTACTGCTACGCTCGAAGACTCGGAGACGCGTCCGAGGACTCCCTAGCTTCCGCCTGTTTCGAAATCTTGGTGGGAACCTTTTCCACTTCACTTTGTGTGTGTCCGGGTTACAGGAACAGCTCTCCAGTGGGCGAGAAACGACAAATGGGGGACGATATGCCGTCCTCATCCGTCGGAGTAGTCCACGGCTTCGTGGAAGGGAAGGATGAAGTCAAACTGACGCGAGAGAAGGATGTCCACGGTATATACAGCAAAGAAACCGAGGATGGCTGTCTGAGCACTGAGATAGGAACCATAAGGACACTCGGCGATTTCGCAGAGGCGTCCTCGAAATTAAGCAATGGTCTCTCTGAGGTCATCTCCAGACTACACGGGCGGCTCGACAAGGTCACTAATGGTAGGGTTCGTCTCCGTGATGCGCTTAGCTTTGGAATTATCGAACCCAAGCCCTGAACGCTATCTATCAGCCGGGGCGTACCAAGAATATATCC